GGATTCCTCCATATTGGAACCAAGCAATGTGCTCCTCTAACATTCCCTCGTTCCTCACACCTTCCACATGACAAGTTTACTCGATCTCCGCTGGGAGCAAGAGATGAGTTAGCAGCCACTTTTTGTCCAGCCGGTATCCTGCTATTAGTTATTGATGTCCCAAAAGGGGGCATAGTCGAGGTCGCTGTTCCCTCAAGCTTCTTCTTCAGATCCCAGCACTCCGATACCTGTTGCCTCGGCCATCGAGACATCCTTCGCCGCGGCGATGATGGCTTCTTCGGCCCTTATGGCTGCAGCCCAAGCTCGTGCCACAGCCGCGAACTTGCCTTGTTCAAGGTGGCAAATCTGTGTATCCAAATCGCCCGATCCTAAGCGGGAGGCTCGTGCAATAATGGAGATCTGCAATTGACCCCTATTTATGTTATGTAATCTCTGTAGCGTATTTGTATTCATAGGAAGTTTTAGGGTAGCGGACAATGAACAACTTACATCTGACCTAACGGCTTGCCAGGCATTCTGTGACACTTATTACAGGCGTGCTTTTAGTCCCGAGTCAACCGTAAGCCACATCGAAACCGTACTCACAAATCCACGCGAGCTGCTCTTTTGTCACCGGTCCCCCACAGTTGCGACACTTAGTGAGAGCCATGCACTCGGCTTCTGAATGCATGTCTGATCCGCGGTTCCAGCGGGCTGGAGCGCGGGAGCAACCACGGGTGGCGTGAAAGCCCAAACAGCATTTACACTGTTCGATATGTCGACGAGGCTTGTGAATGGTAGCCATACCAGACTCGTCGAAGAGGCGGAAGCCGGCACGAGGGGCGGAGTCCCGGTCGAAAAGGGCATGCCAGTTTCTGTACGGCGCCCCAGGACGGCATGTCCCGTGCGGTCGCACCTGAATGAGAAACTGTCGTATTTTGCGGTAGATCTCCACTGAGATTCGATCTTCGTCAACCGTGCGAATACCGTCGTCTGTTAGTGTGGTCGCGGGAATTTTCGCGATCCGAAATGCGACAAGGTTGGAGGCTTCTTCTAGCTTGGCATTGAAGTCTGAAAATTTCGGTGCGACACCCAAGATCCTTTCCCTTGTATTTTCATCCGCTGACAGAATCGTAAAGCCGGTTCTGACACGGTGTACGGAGCTTGCTTCACCCACGAGGCACTGCAGCTCATCGTAGATCTATTTCGTTATGGCGCTAGGTGAAAGCTTGCGCCACGGGCGCTCCTTTTCTGGGCGAAGGAACAGTCGTTTGCCGAATATCGCCTTAGGAGCTTCTTTCTTTGAAGGCTATGCCGCAGGTTGCGGCATAGCTTTTAGTAACGGGACTGCTTTTTGTGACAGTCCGTTTCTGGCCACCGTAGTCCAGGTGCTTTTGACAGGCAGCACTGTGATGGCGGGAATTGTTTGGCTCCTGGCGTCGGGAGCCCTTGGGAGCGGGTTCGCCGGGCGAGGAGGTAGAACGGGTGGCGTAGTGGCCGGCCCCGTAGCCATGTATTGCGCAATGGCGGCGCGTCGTTGCTCGGTTTCGACAATGGATCGTAATTCGGGCGGGCAGTCTGCTTTCGTGGCAGCTTTCGGCTGCAACATTGATGTTGGCGCTGGTTTGGATGCAGCGTTTTCCGACGGTTTTGACGACTCTCCAAATCCGTGGGGGACGGAGGGTGGTTGAGGGATTTCCTCAACAATTTCAACTGACCCGATCATGTCAGTATCGGACTCAGTGACGGCGGGGAGGGCTTTTTCCTTCCATTTGATTGAGACCTTGCTCATCTCCGCGCATTTCGGAGACTGGACAAGGCCAGGTACTTGTTCGAGAGCCCTCGGGTGGGCTCTCGTGTTGTCCGACTTGGCGTTGGGACGCTTTTTGCGACCTGGAGGCATGGTAAAAATGCCTGAGCTCGATCACAATTCGAAGATGGATGCGACGAGATCGAGAGGGATTGGAAAGAGTAAAAAATGAAATTTCGAATTGTGAAAATGTGTGGTTTATGGGGATTACATTGGGTAAGAGTAGCTGCTATGTTGGATAAAATTCAGGGAACAGACACCTCAACCTTGTACAGAGGAAATCCTTTGCCTCATTACATTAACATAGTCTTCAGGAGGGCGAAGGCTGAACACCTGTCAGTGGTGTCCTCTACAAACCTGGGAGTGAAATATTCTCCCAGAGCCGAGATTCCGTCACGAAAAAGGGTGGGATGAATATTTGATGGATTCTCGACTCAAAAGAGTTGCACTCGATATTTTGGTCGAAAAATTAGTCGGCAGAGATTCCACAGCCGTAACAAAGTCGAACAAAAACTCATCACCACCAACATACGATTCACGAATGGGCCTAGGTCCATCTGGGGGTCGTATTCAAACATCCGACATCTCTTAAACTCCTTTTATACTTGCGACGAAGCATTTCTCAATCGATCCTACACCTGCGACCTACCTCAATACCCGTCCGATCACCTACCTACACACGCTCTAATGAGGAAAGTCATGATGGAAACGGGACGTGTAAAAGAGAGGAAGAAAAGGGAAGATACACCGAGGGGATCGCAAATATCCTCAATGACGACAATAACCTAATAGTACGATATGAAGGTGCGAGGCTAGAGAAATGATGAGATCTTGGATGGCATTATATTTTGGAGGCAATGAGGATGTCAAGGGCTCGGGTGCGTGGTGGCCGAGGTTGAGGGGGAATTTGCATCGCGACGTATATACAGCGGGATCCTGGACATTTAGGCTTGACACGATTCAACACATAGGTGAAGTCTGAGGTGGTCCGGTCATTAAAATGGGACGAGGTTTATCTGTACTTCACGGCAGTTAACCTGATCCGGCCCCACCCGTACTTAAGCTCCAGCAGGAGTGCAACGGGAAACACTATACCTAGCACGTTAATGAGAAAAAAAAACAGAGTCCTCAATACATAACAATCAGGCCACAAGGTTATCACATCCCGCGCACAATACTAAACATGAGCTTCTGCCCTTTGACTACCGTAAGCTCTTCATCACAACAAGTTGACCTCTAACACTACGAAGAAAGGAAACGTAGATAGATACATAAAGCTCGCGTGACTCCTGTGTCAATGCCTTACCTGATCGGCGCTGCAGATCATTTGAGGTATTTTCTAGGCATGCAGTTTTCCTTGAGATCAATCATTATTTTTCATATTTTGGGTAGATGGTTCCATAGGTAAATACTGAGCTGAACAGCTTTTTATCATGAGCAATATATCAATGATCTTTCAAGCAACCAAAGAGGATAAGAGCACTGTAAAAGATGAGGCCTGAGTCAGAAAGGCGGCCAATGTGATAGACAGTCACAGACTCGAGTAGTACAATAAATATGCTTCTCTCACTCTTCCATGGAGACTGTATAGAATTGATAGCTAGCACTTCCATGATGAGCTTACCGTGTGATTCCCACGGGATGATAGATCTACTTTACGATTGATAGAAGACCGCAGCTATAGAATCAGCCTAGTCACTCATCGTTACCGCTGAAGTGGTGATACCTAGAAGGATCAAGAGAATATTATGCCGAAATCGCTAGAGAAAGTCATTATCCTACTATCATGCGAATAAATTTTCGCTCAGCTGCTGTCAGGTAGCTGGGAGCCTGATCTGTGATTGTTGAAGTGTAGTTATAACTACAGGAAAAGAGAGCTCAGTAAAAATAGCCTTATTCCTATTTCTCCCGGAATTCCAGGACTAAATTTTTGTGCAGGTGATGGCGATGATTATGATGCACAAGGGTAATGATCACTGAGGTTGAAGGAGGAACTTTCCAGGTGGTTCCATGATGAGTAGAGGTTTTTTTTGATCTCAGATTTAATTGCGTATGCAGCTATCTAGCTATGACACAATATCAAAGAAAAGTACAGAATAGATGATTCAACGTAAAGGGGGAGCACTCATGCCTCAGATTTCATTTGCAAGTACAATGAGTAGAGGATTAATGGAGCACTGTATGGAAAGTGTTTCTAGATTATACTACCAGATATAGGATACTAGAATATTCCGTGAGACTGTTTTGGGAAAATAAGGCGAGAGTCTAGCTACCTCAGGTGCATATATAAGTAGCGCTTTCTAAATTGCATCACCAGTGTTAGTACGAAGAATATTAGCAGCTCAAACTGATTCATAGATAATCATCCGTAAGCCTCCGTAAGTTCTTAACCTTACAATATATATACATTGACCATGATTGTCATGATCTCTTCAACCTAGAGTATAGACATGCGCCAGGAACAGATGACCTGCACTTCTAAATACAGATTACAAGCATTGACCAAAGCAAATAACCAACATACGTATGGACAATCCCTATTTTTATCCAAAAACATTTTGCAGTCCAACTTCTTCGCTGGCTTTTCTTAGCCATCAACAACCGCGATACAAGTGAAAGGAAGATTGGACAAGTAGAGGCGCTGAATTTTACATTGGTTTCCTACATCCAGGAGGCTCGACTCTGTAAACGCTTCTATTAGTTAGATTTGTCTTTTGATTTCATCCCGATACCAGAAGTATGATATTCTCTCACCTTATAGTATAATTAAGTGATTTCTCGAACATTCGCCCTTGCATATCAATTCGAATAGATTGGCCAGCGAAAAAAAGTTAACCATGAGGTGGTAGGTCCTCCAATAGTCAACATAAAAAACAAAGACCAAGGAATTAGCGCTGTATTGAGGCTATGAAAGAGGCGATAATGTTACTGGCCAATAGGTCGATTAGGCCTGTTTTTCATGGTGACTTCTTAGGCTCGTCGGGATGATAAATCATCAAATCTTTGGGAATTCAAATTTATCAGCAAAAATGGTATCTCGGTAGCACAGCTCATCCCATTGACTAAAGAACGGCCCAGGTCGCGAGAAGACGTCTGAATTCGACTGCACCGGCCAAATGATGATGATGATGATGATATAGGATGAGATATACACTGCCTGTAATACAGGTCTTGAGATGGCGGCTTCGATCTGCAGTATTAAATGATAGATTTAACTGAGTACGACCTTCAACTTGTCTCCGGCAATGTAGCCTGCAAAACGTAAAATTTTCAGGCTCGTAGATGGCACCTCCCTAACTTTTCTACCTTCAATTTGCATTTGGGCCAAGACTTCAGCCTCATTATTAAACTTAGTAGCGCTAAAATCCGTTTTCTGGCTCAGGACATGAAGCTGCGGCATGACATGCTGAATCAAAAATTTGGACAGTAAGGCACCATTTTGGGCCTCGCGTCCGACTCGAGTGACGATGTACCATGGCTTTCTAGGCGAGTCGCGCTGAAAAAGGTGTAGATATCCAAAATACCAAGCGAGTCCTTTCTGGCCCGTCTTGCCGGCGTTTACCATAAACATGCCAGTTTCCGTTACCCTACTGACAGACAGAGGAATATCTGCATTAACTATCGTTTTCATGGATTTACTCTCTGGTGCATATCTAGAATGAAGTCCTTGAAGATAAATTTGATTTCTATATGCTAGACTTATGATCATCTTCTGACTGCATGCAGTTCTTTTTGCCACTTCTTTGACACCAGGGATTTTAGTAGCCGGTTGTGACATGGATTCGATGATTTTTAAGCACTCTCCGTGTGTTCGGCCTTTATCTTGGACATCAAGATGAGGTGCATGCTCCGGCTTATTTAACTTTTCCCTCAGTTTCTGAAAGATGGTGTCTTCTCCAAGGTAATGTGAGCAATAGGCAAAAAATCGCATGCCCTCTTCCTTGCTGGGGGTCTGAGTACTGTAGATTCCAGAATTTTCGTCGAAGCTAGGATATCCTTGTCTAGGTTTCAAGTTATAGGTACCGTAGAGGCCGTACATTCCACCTGGAGCAGTGAGAACTAAGTGTTCCGGTTGGCGGACTTTCGCTCCCAAGAGCATAGGTATTGCAAAGACGCAGTGCATGGTGCCAGACCGATGAAGGAGAAAAGTGATAGGCAAGTCGATGTGGAGGGTTTTCCGGGTCAATATGGCCGCCGCACGATAGGGTAATTTTCTGTAAAGCAAAATCGCGCTTCAAGGGTCAATGTCGGATTTGAATTCAAATGTATATTACAGTCGACTGTACTGGAAAAGGTGTGGGAGTGTCTTGCAGAGTATTGCATCGCGAGATATATGGCCCTCAAAAATTACTTTGGTTACGACTTGATCTTCGAATCAAGTTTCACAGAGACTTCGCGAGTCGTGCGATACGACTTCATTTGCGAAATCTACTAGGGGATGAAATGAGAAAAGCCAACCTAGCAGATATCGTAATGTATCCTAGAGTTTCGTGGCAACTCGTAGCTTTAACTTCTAGACTGGAAATTTATTTTTATTCGTTTACTTCAGTTCTGGACGTTGGCATTTTTTTCAGCATTATTGTCTTCGGCCCTCACACAGCCGTTAGGGGGTAATACTCTTTAGTTACCCAGGAGTTACATCTTTATACGACGGCGAGCAGCTATAGTGATAGTATTAAGTACCTCGTTACGCACTCCTCACAACCTTCCAGTCCAAGTTCCTCCTTCTTCTATCCCCAAATGTATAATATCAGTCGCCTAAAACAGATAAGAATATGAGCCTAATATTCTAGTCATTAATTTCGTCTTTTCGGCGAACCTTGCTTCTACAAAGACGTGGGAAGAGGCCTTAATTTTATTAGGTCAGTCAAAACCAACTTGTAACACTTTGTTGTTTGCGCTCGGCCTATGACTATATAGGAAATACTGGACCTCAACCCTCACAGGCCAAGTGTGGCTATGCCTCGGGTATTCTATCTTCTGTAATTCCTTCACAGTTCCAGTCTCCACAATTCTTCTTTCCCTCCAACAAATACAGGAGCTGTTTGTCCCTCATTATCTCATCCCTCAAATTAAACAGAGTAAACGCATTTCGCGGTGATATGGCGTCTAGGAAGAATCTCCGACGTCAGAACTAGATCCGAAGAAATGGCTATCCGTACGGGGCAATTGCAGAATATATACGCCCAAGAGGATAACTCTCTGCCCTTTTGACTTTTCGGCGATATCACGCGTCAACGGCGCCGCAGGATAGATTGGAGTTTGTGGTGAAATGTCAGGAAAGGCTTGACCACATGGTTATGGTAAAACGATCTAGCCCAACTTGTCTGTATCATGTTGAATATGGGAGAATATGGGGGAGTGCCGTAAAGTAATTGACAATACGAGCTATCCCGGTCAATGTTTGACATTATCTCAGCTTTGTAAGTTCCATGGTGAGAAAGGAAGGCTTTGTTGAGACGCTGCGAACATGCAATAAATCCCTGTCGCTACAGTTCGAAAAGTCATCTTGAAAATGAATTTGTTAGTCATGCTAGACCCTCTCTGAACTATATCCCGGTAAGATGGGTCTGGTAATTAGTCGGTGAGCGAGAGGTTACGTACATGAAATCGGTTAATACATTGTTGGTGTTTGGGATCATGTATCTCAGGGTGCAGGGAAGGATCCACTCTGGCTGCTTCGCATTCCTCGGGTGGAAGGAGCACATCCAATGAAGGAAATCAGAGGTGACAACCTGGCTTATCATCGGTTTAGCTTCGTTATCCAAAAGTCGTGCATCATATAATGATCGCCATGTTTGATGGGGAAAGTTGTCATCGACCAATGCATGTCCCTGGTCAATCTTGGGATCAAATATGGAGATCTCGCTTCTTCCATCGGAGATAACCGGGGGCACGAAATAATAAGGATGACAGGGAGATCTTCTCACCAACCGCCGTCCACATCTTTTTATAGATTGAGTTTGGATAAATCTTTATCCATGCGGGCAAAAGCCTAGCGCTTCTAGAGTATGACATATAAAAGACTAGTCCTTCTCAGCTGACTACATACAGAGATATCTTAGTTTGGCATTTGGACTAGTCATGTCGTGGGTGTATTCACTGATAAAACACGAGGTCATATTGCTGGGGATTTTCACCCTTCCCTCAATCATTAATATCTATCTGAGAATAGGAAAGGGGCACCGGGCCAGAGAGGAGCGCAATTTGCTAAACAGTCATCACTTAAGCCGAGTTAGCTCGTATTTTCAATCACTTTACGGCACTCCCCCATATTCTCCCATATTCAACATGATACAGACAAGTTGGGCTAGATCGTTTTACCATAACCATGTGGTCAAGCCTTTCCTGACATTTCACCACAAACTCCAATCTATCCTGCGGCGCCGTTGACGCGTGATATCGCCGAAAAGTCAAAAGGGCAGAGAGTTATCCTCTTGGGCGTATATATTCTGCAATTGCCCCGTACGGATAGCCATTTCTTCGGATCTAGTTCTGACGTCGGAGATTCTTCCTAGACGCCATATCACCGCGAAATGCGTTTACTCTGTTTAATTTGAGGGATGAGATAATGAGGGACAAACAGCTCCTGTATTTGTTGGAGGGAAAGAAGAATTGTGGAGACTGGAACTGTGAAGGAATTACAGAAGATAGAATACCCGAGGCATAGCCACACTTGGCCTGTGAGGGTTGAGGTCCAGTATTTCCTATATAGTCATAGGCCGAGGACAGACGAAGTGTTACATGTTGGCTTTTACCGACCTAAAGAGTCTACAGTCTCTTAAGGATATCAAATGTAAAATTGTCAAAATGACTGGGGTTAGATCCCTGTGCATATCGATTAGATTGGTCTAGTCTTCATGCAGGCCCACGTCTAGTTTATCGACTAGTTGTGCAAGCAGGGGTACTATCCAACGATATCCCGTGAAAGTCGAGATTAATGGGGACGGTTTTGAACTCCATGGGAAAAGTACAATGGTCCTCATTTAAAATTAAAAACAAAAAAAATCTATTGATATTATCGAAAAATACATATCTATTTCAAAAATAATTACTCTGTGGTACAAAATTAGATTTCAAAGACCTCAGTATGGCTCACAAGTATAATGAAAGTGTACTACATGTTTTGAATTAGTCTACTGCATCCTGATACTTTGTGTACCATGGTGCCACGATTTCAAGTTTTCAGTGGATTTAAATGGGGAGCATATTTGCTTCAGGGGTTGCACCCCTATTAGCGCACATTTCTACAGGCTATATAAGTCTTATCCTGTAATTCCTGGCCTAAACCAAGGGCACAATTTGTTTTCATGTCACCCTCAGTTTTATGCAAATCCAACCTATTCTCTAGTTGTTTGCCATCACTTTTATGACCGCCGACCGCTAAAAAATTACACAGCTCTTCTCACCTTGTGCTTGGGTTACAATAAGAATTAGATTTCTTAAGTACAAAGTTATTTATTCTGAAGACTCATGGCTTTACTCGATAATAACCTTTTTTTACAGATGAATCCACCTCATACCCCACCTTCAACACCTCGAATCAAACAATTATCCAGAGATCAAAACATTTTTGTAAGTAGAAAAATTAAAATGAAAGAATTAAAATTTAAAGAAAAATTAAGAAATATGGGCTTCATGAATCTGGCAAAAACCAGACGTAGACAGCCGCCCATCGAGGCATTTATCGGGGAAAAGTTAGTTATTCACTGCGCCGCGGAACTGTCTCCCCCAAGAAGAGAAAAAGAACATCCTCAAGGCTGAAAGCAGATGATGTTTATCAGATTATATCTTACGTTGACTCTTCACCTGGAAACCGCCGCAAAACATTTCTGGAACTCGCCTCTAGCCCCTTTCAGACATCTTGGTGTTAGCGAGCAGGTAATACAAAGAGAACTTCAAAAAAGAGGAAATCAGCGACATGTGGCTCGTCTAAAGCCTCCAGTATCTCAGAAAACTATGAAGACACGCAGAGAATGGGCCGAAGCTCATCTCAATTGGACATATGAAGACTGGACGTCAGTTTTATGGACAGACGAAACTTGGGTAGAGGATAGAAGACATTCTAGAGAATGGGTGACAAGAAGTGTTCGCACATTCCTCAATAAGAAGATGGTAATTTGATGCTCTAACATTCTGAGCTAGACTTCCCAAGAATACAACGCTGATTGTGTTGGAGAAAAATCGAAGAATAGGGTCGGATGGATGTTCTGGAGTTGCTTCGCAAGGCCAGAAAAAGGCCCTTGTTTGTTTCGGGAGAAGGAATGGGGTTCCAAAACTCCCAAAAATATTGCGAGAAGATAGTTCCTCTTATCGATGGCATGGTCTTGATGAGACCTTGGCTTTCTGTAATACAGGATAATGCTCCTGCCCACACAGCCGCAATTACAATGGAAGATATGAGCCAGAGGCTCATTCAACCGATTTTCTGGCCGGCCAACTCGCCTGATCTGAACCCGATTGAAGCTGTTTGGAATATGATGAAGGAATACATCCAGCGTCATCATCCGAATCTGGGTTGCGGAAAGCAGTGATCTCAAGATGGTCTTCGCAAAATTGTAAAGGAGGCATGGGATTCCGTGTATTCCGAAGATCTTGTGAGACTCATTCAGAGTATGCCAGCAAGATGTCAGGCTGTGGTAGATGCGGATGGGGGAGTGACCAGATATTAAGGCCTGAGAATACTCCGGCCACATGTTCAGATCTAAGGTTAGGATAAGACTGGCTCTATTTTGTAATTTGAAAACCTTTGAACTCTTGTAAATAAGCTATGGAGTCAAGTAGCAAAATTGCACGAAAGTTATGCAGCCGATCAATATACAAATTAGATTTATTACGAAGGAAAGACCCACTGCAAACTATGGTGTCTAGATAGAAACTGCCATACAAAATATTTCTTAAATTTGCACAAATACGGGGGCTAACTCCAATTTGGAAGATGACTATGCCTAAGGCTCCTAGTTTACAAGCTATAATCCCTGCCAAAGCCCCATTGCAAACTTGACACCGTGGCACCACGGTATATATTTACATGAGAGGAATACAAACATTATATAATTCTTCTCCCTAAACCTGGCCGTAATCTCAGTACATCTAAAG